CTTGGGATATGTAGTTCGCGACTGGGCTAGCGGAAATCCTGCCAGATTCTACCCAGTTTTCATCGATTTATTTATTTTTCAACCACCGGTTCTAGGGAGCGGATAACTATTAACAGATGCCCAGCAGAGAGACACGCAGGTCTGCAGGCACAGATAAGATTTTATTTTTGCTTCTCATCTCCTCCGCACGTGGAGAAGGCAGGTATAAAACATGATGGGTAAACAGATTTTGTGTAATGTTAGCTTGTCGACTGATCGTGGGGCACGGTCATTCTGGGCACTTTCCTGGCTGGCTCTCGGACTATGAGCGCGCTGGAAACAGCGGTACTGGGGCTTCTGGGGTACCGGGTGAGGTAACCCCGGGCGCATGCTGGCCACGCCTTCTTTGTGAGTCTCCTCACGCACCTCCAGTGCTATCGAGGGTTCAATTCCTCTCCTGATGGTACACACAGATACCAGAACCTAGAGTGCTGTGAATAAAGGAGTTCTTGCTTTCTCCACGTGGAACATCGGTGTTCACTTCACAACCAGGGTGCAAGGAGGAGGAGACCCAACCGGAAGAGAGAGGACGAGTGCACTTGGGTCAAATCTCGATTTGGAGGTGTCCCTGACAATCCTGGGGGTTCCTGTGCACACTCTTATCTTCATGGTTCTAGCACCCAGCGCCTTCTCCCCGGCGCCTCCATTCCCGACTCGGACCTGAAGCCTCCTACCCCCTCTCCCCGCTTTCGTCCTTGGCGGCTCCCTGAAGACCTACACATGCTCCAAAGCAGGCCTGGTCAGAAGCCTAGGCAGGGGTTTAACTTTATCACGGTTGCAATTATTTTATCAATGGCTATCAAATCGTTTATTAAGAAGCCTTTGGGGGGGGCGGTTCGCTGGTGCAGTCACGATCGTCACATCCGCCCAGACAGCTGTACACTTGCCCGAGTAGCCCGGACAAGTCGGCCTTCCACTCGCCAGCCTCCGCCTCCTCCTTCCCGCCGCCAACGCCGACTTCCGGCCGGGCAGGGAGGGAGGATGGAGCGCTTTCCCTGAGTCTGGGCGAGTGCGGGCCGGGTCTCGCGAAGGTGAGGGCGTGGTTCTCAGGGACTGCGTCTGGCGGGGGCGCAGCCAGCTCCTTCCTCTCGGCGCTGGCTTGGCAGCTACTCGGTTGCTCCGCCTCTGGCCTTCGAGCCCGACCCAGCAGAGGCCGCGTCGCGAGCTCTCAGGTGCGGAGCTGTTGGTTTCTCCTGCAGCCCGGGTTCTTTCCTAGCGCTGTGCGCTGGAGCCCCTCGGTATCCTTTGGTAGGCTAGCGCCTCTGCTCTCGGGAAGGGGACTTCGGTCTGTTCGTAGGGGCATGGAGGGCGAGGGTGCAAACTGGGAAGAGCGGAGGAAAGAGGTGATGGGGTCTTTTCCCGGTTCTCCTAGTGGTGCCCTTGGCGGATACTCGCCCTTAGTCACTTTAAGTGTCTCTGTGCCTGAGTTGTTTTCTATATAGACTATAGATCAAAATAGAGGCCATATATGGATGCAGATTTTTACAAAACGTTTGCTTATCTAAGCTACTTAGCAATACGGACGTAAACTATAGCCGAGAAAATAGAACCAGGTGATGATTATAGACTTTAAAAATGGGACATCTATTTTACAGAGCAATGCATTACAAGAACTTCTTTAAATCGTTACTCTATTGATGCATGTAAAGCTTGCCATTTTATATAATTTTGCTTTACAAGCGCAATCTTTCACTATTTCTATTGTTGTTAAGTGCCACGGAGTCTTTCGGACTCTTAGCGACCCTGTGAAGGGTTTCCAAGGCTGCCGGTTCCTGTGGGGTCAGAAAACGGAGCAGCTGGTGAGTTTGAACCGCCCACCTTGTGGTTAGCAGTTCAGAGCTTATTCTTCAGAGCCACCGTGCTCCTCTTCTTTTATTTGTTGTTGTTACTAAGTGCCATCGAGTCGGTTCTGACCCATAGCGACCCTGAAGAGGGTTTCCGAGGCTGTAAATCTTTACGGGAGCAGAAAGCCTCATCTTTCTCCTGCGGAGCAGCTGGTAGTTTTGAACTGCTGACCTTGAGGTTCGCAGCCCGATTCGTAACCACTACACTACCAGAGCTCCTTCTTTTATTTAGGTGGCTTTTAAATAAAAACTTAGACCCTTCAACATGCACTTTTTTTTTTTTTTTTTTGTATGTTTTTGTTCTTGTTAAGTGCTTTGCAGTAGGTTCCTACTCATAATGCTTTCTTGTAGGGTTTCTGAGGACCAGTTGGTGTTAGTAAACTGGGGCTTATCCTATAACACCATACCAGGACTCTGTTTTGTTCTTAGCAAAGCTAAATTTAGTGCTTTCTTGTAGAATTTTCAAGCTAGTTGACATGATTTTATGAGTAAATCAAATTGAGGCTTTAGATCCTTCTGTGATTCTTCTTATCAATTAATTCGTGTGGCACCGCAGGATAAGCACTAGAGTGCTAACCACAAGGTTGGTGGTTCAAACTCACCAGCCACTTGCAGAAACCCTTTACAAGGTTGCTATGAGTCAGAACCAACTCCTGGACACACAACAACAGTCATTGCATACAGTAGTACCTAGCATGATGTAGGCTAGTAACAGGATCATATTGAATAGAATGCTTTCAGATATTAGGTCAAATATAAGAAACCTGTTGCCTTGGAGTAGATTCCGACTCCTAGCCAACACTATAGGACAGGAAAGAACTGCCCTTAGTGTTGCCAAGGCTGTAAATCTTAATGGAAGAAGAATACCACGTTTTTCTCCCACAGTGATTTGTGGAGGCTAGTGGATTTGAACCTTTTGGTTAATAGATAAGTGCTTTAGTCGTTATGCCATCAGGATTCCTAGGGATACAACATCACCAAAACCAGACATCAGGCGTAAATGTCAAATTGCACCCTAGTGAGACAAGTGAGAAAGGAGCTCTGGTAGTGTAGTTGTTACGAATCCGGCAGTGAACCTCAGGGAGAAAGATGAGACTTTCTGCTCCCCTAAAGATTTACAGCCTCGGAAACCCTTTATAGGGTCTCTATGAATCAGAACTGACTCCATGGCACATAACAACAACAACATCAACAAGACAAATGAGAAAGGAGCTCTTGTGCTGTAGGAAAAACACTGGACTGCAGCAAACTACAAGGTTAGAAGTTCAAACCCACCAACCTCTCTGAGGGAGAGAAAATGAGATTTTCTGCTCTTGTAAAAGAGATTTGTAACCTCAAAGCCTGTACCGGGTCCTTCTGAATCAGATTTGAATATATTACAGTAGTTTTTTGGAGGGTTAAGACTAGTGAGAGGAACCCAGTGGTATAGTGGTAAAGTAATTGGTAAAGTAACTGAAAACTCAGTGGTTCAAATCCACCAGCCTCCACCAGCTACTGATGGGGAAAGATGTGACAGCTTCCATAAAGATTGACAGCCTTGAGAACTCTGTGGGGTGGTTATACTCTGTTTTATAGTGTTGCTATGAGTTGGAATTGAATACAGCAGTGGGTTAACACTTGTGAAGGAAAGGTGTCTGAATATATCTGAGATGACCTTGCCTCTGCTCCCTCCCAAAGGGACCTGGGACCTGAGATCTGAAGGTTGAGCAGGAATTAACTAAAGGGGAGTGATGGGAGTGAGAGGAAGCAGCTTTCAAAGATCAGAAAGGAGGTCAGTGTGGCTGAATCCAGAGAGGAAAGGGAAATAGTGAGATGAGATGTTTAAAAGACAGATCCTGGGGTTAGATGGAGTTCAATTTTGTTCTAAGATCAGAGAAGGACCATAGGAAGGGAATTGCATGATCAAGCGTATGTAGTAAGCTTTGTTTTCTAGTATATGTGTTCAGGGATTATTAGCAATGGCAAACTAGGAGAGTGAATAGGGGAGAACTAGCAGTGGGAATGGAATTGTAAATGATTTATAAACATTGGGACAAAAGGAGACACAAGATGTGAGCAAACTGTAAGTTGCAGGGTATATTATTGGAGGGATAAACTGCTGTTCTATATCACAGTATTTCCTGAGCATGTAATTAAAATAGTTGATATCTAAGGGTTTTGTTGTTAGTAATAAATTATGTTGAGTTCACTTCAGGAAAGCCAGGATCTGAGCAATGCAGGATGATACAAGAGTAAGAAAAGCACATTTGGTATCTGATCTCATGGCATTTAAATTGCAGGCAGAAAGGTAGACAGGAACCAGACATTCAGTAGAGATGGAGCTATTTCCTTAATTACGTGAAGTAGGAAAATTCCAATACCTTGTTGCTTTTCTTTGTGTGTGAATTAGTTCTGTGCATTATTTCTTACAGCACTAAAAAGTGTATGCAGACTGGCTTCATGGCAACAGGTTTATATCCACATGGGACCATGAGTTAGAATAGACATGACAGCAACTAACAACATACATACATGATAAGAAGAAAAGCCACAAGCCGCTGCTGTCGAGTCAATGCGCACTCGTAGTGACTGTATATACGACAGAGCAGAACTGTCTCTTGTGGTTTTTAAGGCTGTAAATCTTTACAGAAGCACTCCTCACATCTCTCACCTGAGAAGTAGCTGGTGGTTTTGAACTGCCTACATTCTGGCTAGCAGCTGAGTGCTTAAGCACTGCACCACCAGGGCTCAATGTGGGTATGTTGTTATTATTAAGTGCCATCGAGTTGGTTCTGACTCTTAGTGACCCCGTGTAGCATTTCCAAGGAGCGCCTGGTAGGTTTGAACTGCTGACCTGGTGGTTAGCAGCTCATTGCTTAGTCTATCCTGCCATACCAGGACTCCAGTGTGGTTATGGTAGTTACAAAATAAGTATTTAATGCAGGACAACATGTGGGTGACATTTGAGATTCTTTTTAGTGCTGTTCCTGTATCTAGTAGATTGTTGATCTTTCTCCTTTTTCCTCTTCCTAGGAATCCATCTTGCAGCTGTCACATTTTTGTAGAATGCTGTAAACAATTGTCAACAGAAAGAGCTCCAACTTCTTCCTAATAGCAGAAATTTCATTGTTTCATTCAATGCCTAACGTTGCAGAAACAGAAAGGCCAAATGATTCTGGGAATGGCGAGCACAGATCAGAGAGAACGTCTCCTGAAGAGACTCTACAGGATGCTGTAAAATCGTTTTGCACAAGTGCCTCAGAAGTACCCTTGGGTCCTAAAGGAGATGGTCATTATCCCTGGAGTTGTCCAGTGACTCACACTAGAGAAAAAATCTATGCCATCTGTTCGGACTATGCCTTTCTCAACCAGGCAACCTCAATCTATAAAACTCCAAATCCAACACGCTCTGCTTGCCTTCCTGATAGTACTGAAAATAATTCATCGAGGTACACTGGCATCCCTACTAGTGCGTCAGAAATCATCTTTAAGGAAGAAAATAGCTCGGACAGCATATCCAGTAGCTTGGGCAAGCTACCTCTTGCCTGGGAAATTGATAAATCAGAATTTGATGGGGTGACCACCAATTTGAAACACAAATCAGGTAAGAAAGGAGTCATGAGGTTCCCATGTGAAGATAATGAAGGTCAGCTTTGTTTTTTGAACTTGTCTTTCAACATGATTTTTTCATTTATATAATACCGAACAAATTACACTGGTGTCATCTTGTCTTACCAGTTCAGGCACACCTCGGTCTATTGTTCTTTGCTTTCTTAGATTTGCTGATAGTGAGTGTTTTGCAAACTGACCGTTTGTGACAAGCCTGTGTCTAGCAGGCCTATTGGTACCATTTTTTTTTCCCCCAACAGTATGTACTCACTTCCTGTGACTGTTAAATTTTGTTAATTCTCACAATATCTCCAGCTTTTTCATAATGCTACTGCGCACTTAGTAGCATATTTGTTGTTGTTGCTAAGTGCCTTAAGAGTCGGGATCTGACTCATAGCGACCTTTGGCATAGTGTAAACATAACTTTTATATGTCCTTGTTTTTGTTGTGAACTGTTGTCAAGTCGGTTCCAATAGTGACCCTGTATAGAGTTTCCAAGTAGTGGGCTGGTAGGTTTGAACCACTGACCTTACAGTCCAGTGTTCATCCTACAGTGCCACTAGGAAGCCAAAAAATGTGTGTGACTGGTTTTATTGAAATATTCGCTTTATTGCGGTAGGCTGATGCTAAACTCACAATATCTTCAAGGTATGCCTCTACAATTAAAAAAAAAATTCCTGAACGTTTGGCATTTAATTCTGTAATGTGTTACCCATGGAAACTTCAAGCATTACATTTGTATTTGAGAGCTTTGAGAAATCTAATACTGTAAAAGACAGAGAAATATGAAATAGCTTAGAAAAGGTTATGGATGTGGCTAGAATAACATACTATTTTGTACTTTTTTCACGAACGAGAAAATATGTTCTGATTTAAAATACAGTTTTCTTTTCTGCCACCTATCACGGTGGCTTTTTGTTGTTGATAGTGTTGTGAATACTATTTTGTATGTCTGAGTAGGTTGTGTACTGCACAATTTGAGAGCATGTCATTCATGTAGGATGCGGTTCAGCCATGACAGTTACAGGATGAGTAGCCTGTGGCAGACACTGATGCTTTGTACTTCTTTCCTTTGAACTCACATAGACAAGAATTTTATGAGTTGTGGGTACTGTTATCCACATTTTATAGGTGAAGAAATTAAGACTTGGAAAAGATATGCAACAGTACAATTTAGAACTAGGACTTGTATTTTACTTCTAGGCTTCTCTGATCATTTTGTAAGACTACTGCTTCTACTTACCCATTTTCAAAATTAACTTATTTTGCAGAATATTATGTCAATTTGTGATTTTTAGGGGTGTGATGTGGGGTTTTCACTTGTGTCTCTATGAACAATTGTTATTAAGTGCTGTTGGGTTGGTTCTGATTCATAACAACTCTGAATAGGGTTTCCAAGGAGCAGCTGGTGGGTTTGAAACAACGATCTTGCAGTTAACAGTTCACTGCGTATCCTACAAATGCCACACCAGGACTTTTATATGAGCGATACTGATCTCTAATTGTCTTTTTTTATAATGCTTTTTTCAGGTTTTGGAATTAGGTCTCCTAAAACAAGTTGGAATTATTGTTAAGAACCGTTGAGTCAGTTCCAACACAGCGACTTTATAGGGTTTCTGAGGAGCGGTTGGTGAGCTTAAACCTCCAACCTTGCGCTTTAAACTGACCTTACAGCCCAGTGCATTAACCTGCAGCACTGTACCAGGAGGACTTTTACATGAGCGTTACTGGTCTCTAATTTTCTTTTTTTATAATGTCTTTTTCAGGTTTTGGAATAAGGTCTCCTAAATCAAGTTCTCTCTTGTTTTCAGAGAGTTTGTGTTGGATTAGTGTTGTTACCCTCTCCCCCCCAAGCTTTTAATAGAATTCATCAAAACTATCAGGGTGTGGCGTTTTCTTTGTAGGAAGTTTTTCGATAATGAACTCACTCAATTTTTCAAGCTAGATATAGAGGTATTTAGATTTTTTGTTCCTTCATGTATCAATTTGTAAATATCTGTTGAATTGTTCTTTTAATTGGTAAATCACATGTTGTTAAGTGTCAATGAGTCACTTCCAACTCATAACAACCCTGTAAAGGGTTTCTGAGGAGTAGCTGATGTGTTTGAACCACCAATCTTGCAGTTAGCAGTCCAGTGCTTATCCTGTAGTGCCACACCAGGAATCCAAATGGTGAGTGAGTGATATTAAAAGCTAGCTATGATTTAAAAGGGAACACAGTGGCTCCTTAGGATAAGTACTAGACTGCAAACTACAGAGGTTGGTAGTTCAAGCCCACCAGCTGCTCCTTGGGAGAAAGATGAGGCTGTCTGCACTTGAAAAGGTTTAAAGCCTTAGGAACCTATACAGGGTTTCTATGAGTCAGAATCGACTCAGCGGCACTTAACAACAGCAATGATTATGAAATGGTCTGTTGCTGTTGTTAAGTGCCATCAAGTCGATTCGGACCCATAGCAACCCTGTGTATTCCTGTTAATTCCGGCAAATTTTCGTTTTTCTATTTCATCTCAGGTATCAAATTTGTTGACATGAAGTTGGCAATATTTTCTTGTTATTTTGCTAACATCTGTAGGGCTATTAGTGATCATCCCTCTTTCTTTCCTAATGCTGGTAATTTATGTTCTCTTTTTTTAAATTCTTCATTAATGTCGCTAGGGGTTTGTCAGTTTTGATCCTTGTGCCAAGTTGCCAACCTTGAGCTTTGCTAATGTTTTCAATTTCATTGGATTTGGTCTTCATCATTTCTTTCCTGTACCTTAACTTTATTCTTCATTTTCTAGCATCTTAAGATGGAAACTTAGATCATTGTTTTCCTAACGTGACCATTTAATGTTCCACATTGCTCTAAGAGTAGTACTTTAGTGACGGCAGCTCCCAAATTTGGTTATAGTGTATTAAGTTTTCATTTAATCTGAAGTATTTTCAAATTTTCCCAGTGATTTTTTCTTTGACATATACAGTATTTGGAGGTGTACTGTTAGTTTACAGATTTGGGTTTCTTGTCCCTCTCAATTTGTGGCCCTGTGGAATAAAGCACTGGACGACAAGGTCATTTGAACCACAAGCTGGGCGGTTCAAACTCACCAGCCGCTCCTTGGAAACCCTGTATAGGGTCGGTAAGAACCGAAACCGACTTGACGGCACATAACAACAAATATTCTTAATAGTTTTTATTTTCATTCCATCATGAACAGACAACATATGATTTCAGTTCTTTTATATTTTGTTTTATGGCCTGGCATATGGCCGGTACCGACTGGGTGGCACTTAACAACAGCAACAACAAGGGTCTATAGTGATGAATGTACCATGCACACTTGAAAAGGATGTGCATTCTGCAGCTGTTGGGCATCATTAGGACAAGATAGGTGATAGTGTTTAGCTGTCTGTGACTTGGTTGGATTTTTGTTTAATGCTATTAATTGCTTTAAGAGGGGCTTTAAAATTTTCTGACTATGATTTGCAGTTGTTTTTTTTCTCTATTCAATTCTGTAAATTTTTGTTTTCATGTCATTTGAAGCTCTGTTATTAGGTATGTGTATTTATGATTTTTGTATCTTGATGAATTGACCCTTTTATCAGTATGGAATATTCCTCCACCCCTGCCATGATTTCTTTGTTCCTAAATCTGCTCTGTTTGATAATAATATAGCCACTCCAGCTTTCTTCTGATTAGTGTTTGCATGGTATAATTCTTTATTTCAATTTATTTTCAACCTGTCTGTGATTTTTATATTTAAAGTGTGTCTCATGGAGAGAGCTGTTGAGTTCATCCATTGAATTGCTTATTTTAGATTATGGTTTTTATAGTTCAGGAATTTCCATCTGGGTCTTTTTTATAGTTTTGTGTCTTTTCCGAAATTTGCTATCTTTTCATTTATTACAAGAGTGTTTTATCTAGTTTATAAAGTGTTAATTCTAATGTTATCAGCTACTGTGGAGTTGGCCCCAACTCATGGTGACCCCTACTTTAAGGTCTTTATATGTACATTTTAACAACCTGGTCATCTAAAGGCTTTTTGTGAGAATGTATCACATTTTCCTGTTTTCTTTCTCATATGTTCAATAATTTTGGGTAATGTCCTAGATATTGGAAATACCATATTATGGAGATTCTAGATGTTACTACTGAATGTTTTAAAATTGGGAAAGGTGTGCGACAAGGTTGTATTCTTTCACCATACTTATTCAACCTGTATGCTGAGCAAATAATATGAGAAGCTGGGTTCTATGAAGAAAAACGTGGCGCGTCAGGATTGGAGGAAGACTCATTAACAACCTGCGATATGCAGATGATACAACCTTGCTTGCTGAAAGTAAAGAGGACTTGAAACATTGACTGATGAAGATCAAAGAGCACGGCCTTCGGTGTGGGTTGCATCTCAATGTCAGGAAAACAAAAATCCTCACCACTGGACCAATAAACAACATTCTTATCAACGGAGAAAAGATTGAAGTTGTCAAGGACTTCATTCTTCTTGGATCAACTATCAACACTCATGGAAGCAACAGTCAAGAGATCAGACGATGTATTGCATTGGGCAAATCTGCTGTGCAGGAACTTTTTAAAGTGTTGAGGAGCAGAGATGTCAGCTTGAGGACTAAGGTATGCCTGACCCAAGCCATGGTATTTTCAATAACCTCATATGGATGCGAAAGCTGGACAGTGAATAAGGAAGATCATAGAAGAATTGATGCCTTTGAGTTGTGGTTTTGGAGGAGAATACTGAAAGTGCCTAAAGAACCAATAGATCCGTTTTGGAAGAAGTGCAGCCAGAGTGCTCCTTGGAGGCCAGGATGGCTAAGCTTCGTCTCTCATACTTTGGACATATGGTCAGGAGGGAACAGTCGCTGGAGAAGGATGTCATGCTGGGTAAGGTGGAGGGTCAGAGAAAAAGAGGAAGACCCCCAACGAGATGGATCAGCCAGGTGGCATCATTGATGGCATCAAGTGTGGCAGCAGTAGTGAGGTTGGCCCAGGATCAGACATTGTTTCGTTCTGCTGTGCGTGGGGTTGCTATGAGTCGGTTCCAACTCGATGGCACCTGACAACAACAATAACAGATGTTACTGATTTTTTTTTTTTTTATAGGCAGTTAACTTGGATTGACTAAACCTGTAAATTCTTTTACTTGGGTAGAGTTCAAAGCTCATTTAAATTATTTTAGCCATAACTGGGCTCCTTGAAGTCTGTTGTATACATTCCTGGTCAGCCTGAGATTTGGACAAACTGTAAACATAGAATTTGATCTCCGCTTCTTTTCATTCTCTTGTCTTGGAATCTCCTCACCTCACTTTCCAGTAATTGTGGTTGCTCCAAATTCTGTCCTGTAGTTCTTCAGGTTAAAAAGACTGGGTTTTCTCCTTCTTCTCTGTTAATCCCTATGTTTTTCTCTACAAGCCAGAGTGGTGTGTAGGGGTATATATTTATTTTCAGTCTTCTCAGGAAGATGAGGAATTGAAGAAGGAACATAGTAACAACAAAGGGCAAAGGACAAAGGTTATTGGAGTCATGTGATAAGGTGACAAATTTGTAAGCCTTGATTTTTTATATTTCCACCTCACACTTAGATTCCGCTTTGACCTAGCTCCCTTCCCTCACGTTGAACAGGATTTTGTGTCTGGAACCAATTTTCTGTCTGGAATAGATGCCATGAAATGTGTTTGCTTGGAACATATGAATACAAGCTCATTTTTCTTAGGGGAATCTTAAGAGTAATCTAGCAGAGAATAGAGGGAAGGCTAAAATTCTGTGTCCAAACCATTCTGTAGGTTCTTTGAAGTTACAGATTTTAGTTGGGACAAAGAATGCTTTAAATTTGCCTCTAAAATTTTAAATAACTGAGAAAACCACATAGGAAATAAAGACATCTCAACAAACAACCGAAAGTTATTTTTTTCTGTCTTCTGATTTATTTCATTAATAAAGGAAATTTTGCAGAATGAAATTTTGCTAATGTTTGCCAGTGGTTATTCAGTTTTGAGAACATGTACCCTTTGTGAAGACTGAGAAGGAATAACAAAACTGATTTTGTTGTTATTGTTAGGTGCGATTTCTTTGTTGTTGTTAGGTGCCGTCAAGTTGGCTCCAATACATAGTGACCTTTTGCACAACAGAATGAAACACTGCCTGTCCTGCACCATCCTCACAGTTGTTGTTATGCTAAGCTCATTGCCATTACCACTGTGCCAATCCAGCTCATTGGGGGTCTTCCTCTTTTTTGCTGACCCACTGCTTTACTTAGTATGATGTACTTCTCCAGGGACTGGTCCTATTTGATAACATGTCCGAATCCTGTGAGACTTCATATTACCATCCTGGCTTCTAAGGAGCATTCTAGCTGTACTTTGTCTAACAAAGATTGGATTGTTCTTCTGGCAGTCTACAGTACTTTCAATATTCTTTTCCAATACTATAACTTAAATGCATCAATTCTCCAATGGTCTTATTCATTGTCCAACTTTTACATGCATGTGAGGCTCTTCAAAAAACCATGGCTTGGGTCAGGCAAACCTTAGCATTCAAACTGGTATCTTTGCTCTTGAACACTTTGAAGAGGTATTCTGCATCAGATCTGCCTAATGAAGAACATCGTTTGATATCTTGACTGCTGTTTCCATGAGTGTTGATTGTGGATCCAAGCAAAATGAAGACTTTGACAACTTCTATCTTTCTCTACTTTGTAGTCTTCATTATTATTACATTTTATAAAAATTATGAATAACCCTGTGTAACTATATTTACTGAGTTCTAGCTAGTTTTTGACTGCCGAGTTGTTTCATTATGGAACATCTGTTCTTGAATAAATAAAATATAGTATGGATAATTTTCCACTTGTATTTTCAAGGGATCTATCTATAGTATCGTTATTTTAAAATTTAACAAAAACTTGTAAGATATATTATAGCCTTCAGTAAATTTTTATGAATAGAATATGTGCAGAAGAGCATATAATATTTGAGCTTAAGTATCTGAAATGTTAATAATCGTTCAGTAAAATGAAGTTTGGATTTGACTTGTTACCTGTTTTAAATTTATGTGGTTTCTGATTGGGCAGCCCATTAGTGTGTTTCAGAAATAAAAAGTGTAAAAATGAAGCAGTATCAAGTGTCACTCCTTACTCTTGTCTCACTTTTTACCCCACACCCACAGACACTCCCACTTGCAGGTAACCAGAATTGTTTGTCTTGTGTTTTCTTTTGAAGGAATGCACACACTTACATGGAAAAGAGGTTGCCTTTTTCCATTGTAGTTCCTGGAACTAAAGTTAGCTTTTAATAATGTATGAGTGCGCATCATTCTGAATCCATTTTGTGGTCTCCATGGGCCTGGAGATATTTTTAAACATCACATTATCACATTACTAGATCCAGTGCTTTTACTTTGAACAGAGTTATACTAATGTGGTTTTATTGTTTTATAGCAAGGGTTTATTTTCCGGAAAGTGCTCTAGTTAAATCTTTTACTGTAGCTAATTTGATTTTCTGGTTAGGACAACAGATTTCGTTTAGATTCTTTTGCCAGCTAAGTGACTAAATCTGGAAATTGAAATATAAGAATTTGATAAGAATTAATGTTTGTGATTGATTAAAGTTATTTTTATTCTTTTTTAAGTAGAGTTTTCTTGAAGATATATGCATTAAAAATGTTTGCAAATTATCATTTTTAAGACTAGTGACAGTTTTGAATTCTTATATATAAATTGATTGTCAATGAGAGTTTATGGCATTTTAAACATTTTGCTTACTTTATACTCTTGTTTTCTAGGCAGTGTGAAGAAACAGATTTCTAAGAAGAAAACTTCAGATAAAAAAGGAAGACATCAGAGAGATTATCCTCAGCATTCTCCACTTGAAGATATTAAGCAGCGGAAAGTCTTAGACCTCAGACGATGGTAATTGTTACTGCAGTCTTTAATTTTTTAAAATAAAGATATATATTTTGGCAATAATTTTGTTGCTTAACAGTAGTAATGCATAATACATATTTTCCATTCTAAATAGAAAAGAGTCACTTAATATCGGATAATTCCATAATAGAGATTCTCAGAGTAATTCTGAGATAGGTAGTCTAGCTCATCTTTCCTACCTTGTCGCTTACTTTCCTCCTGGTAACATCCATGTGGTGCTGTAGCATCAGCACTGGACTGTGAGTCACAAGGTTGGCAGTTCAAATCCACCAGCTGTTGCTTGGAAACCCTATACAGGATCGCTATGAGTTGAAATTGACTTGATGGCACTTAACAATATCATGTAGGGCAATAGATTGGCATCATGGTAATATTCAATTCCCCATCAGTTTTTCACCTAGTATTTTTTAAAATCAAAATCCTGTAAAGATACTTGCCTGAATCCTTCTTGCAAAATAGTGATCTTTCCTAAGTCTATCTTCCTTCTACTTTTATTAGTTGGCATTTTTCTGATAAGAAGAGCTGATCAAGTAGGGTTGTTAGTTTGCTGTGAATACAGATTTTATTCTAGAGGATAAATGCATAGCTCATGATAGCTTTACAATATTAAACATTAGTAATCTCTTGGTTTATTTTTGGTTTTGTTTCGTTTTTTGTGAGAGATTTTAGAAAGATTAAATTGAACCATTTATGGTAGGTTGACAATACAGAGATGCACCAGACACGATCTTTGTTCTTCCAAAGTTTAAAATCCAGTGTGAACATGGGACAAAGCAGAAACATCTGAATATGTGACATGAGAGGAGGTAATAAAAACACCAAGAGGCTTTACTGCGGAGCTCTGGGCCCTAAGGGAGGAAGTGGAGGTCTTATAAAGGGACAGAGGGTCCAAAGGTCTCTTGTCTGGGTGATTGGAAAGGGTGTAAGTTTTCAGTGACTATGAGTTTTTGGAAATAGATTGTCAAGCTTCTCTTATGAGATACCTCTGGGTGGATTCAAACTGTCAACCTTTTGGTTAATAGTCAAATGTATAACCTATGCTACCTAGCCACTCTTTAAATGTACACCAAAAAACCCCCAAGCCCAAACACATTGCCACTAAGTCAATTCTGACTCCTAGCGACCCCTGTAGGGTTTCCAAGGTGGTAAATATTTATGGAAGCAGATTGCCATGTCGTTCTTCATCAGAGCAGCTGGTGGGTTCAAGCTGCTGACCCACCTTTTTATTATTAGCCACTTTGTCGTCAGGGTTTCTCAAATGGGCACTAAAAAGCCGCAACCAAACTCCATGGCATCCAGTCCATTCTGACTCATTGTGGTTTATAAGACACACAGGAACTATGCCCTAAAGATTCCACGGTTGTGTATCTTACAAAAGCACACTTCTGTATCTGTCTTCCACAGGTTGGTAGTGAACTGCCAACCTTTCAGTTAATAGCCTAGTGCTTTAACTAGTGTGCCACCGTTGTTTAATCGTGTGTACAGCTCAACTAGGAGTTTTCATAAAAGTTTTAATGGTATCTAAATTTGCATATAATTAATTTAAAAAATATATATTGACTTTGATCAGGTGTTACTCATCCTTAGCTACCTTTATTAAAATGGCTGCTTTAGTGTTAAGTATTTATGATTGGTATTTCATAAATATGAAAATATTTTTAAGAGTTTATACTAAAGGAGCTCTGGTAGCGTAGTGGTTACGAATCGGGCTGCGAACCTTAAGGTCAGCGGTTCGAAACTACCAGCCGCTCCGCGGGAGAAAGATGAGGCTTTCTACTCCCGTAAAGATTTACACCCTCGGAAACCCTGTACAGGGTCGCTATGGGTCGGACCCGACTCGACGGCACTTAACAACAACAAACAACAACAACATGATTAAGGTTTTAATTATGCTAATACTTCTGTCACCAGGCTTGTTTATTTCTGTTTTGCATATCTTATCTTGTCATTCAAGAGGAGAAAAAAATCTTCTCTTTTCCTAGGTACTGCATAAGTCGACCACAATATAAGACTTCTTGTGGGATCTCTTCATTAATTTCCTGTTGGAATTTCCTATATAGCTCAATGGGAGTGGGGAAGTAAGTATGTTAATTTGTTGATATCCCCAAATATAAATTAAAAATGATTTGGTGTGGCTTTTCAATAATACAAGATTTTTAAGAATAGATTTTCATAAATTAAGAAAAAAATCTTCTGTATTTTGTTATAAGCCTTTAAGGTTAAAATATATGCTTCTATCATTTTTGATAAAAGTTAATTTAAAATATTACCAACATTTTTTCAAATTAGACATTAAAGCTCTGTATAATTGGAATTGTAAAATGAAAGGTGATGTTTCTTTTGTAGTCTTCCACCTATTACCCAAGAAGAGGCTTTACATATTTTGGGCTTCCAACCCCCTTTTGAAGACATTAGGTTTGGCCCTTTCACTGGAAACACAACACTTATGAGGTATGGAGTCCCCACTTAGAAGCAACACTTATTTCTAAGTGTATCTATAGTAATATAATAGATACGTGTTATTTAATCAACCGTGTTTTTAGCTACTGGGTCCCAGGCTCTAGTAGACACTGCAAACTTGGACTATGCCTAAATGTCTCTAGAATTGGAATAGTGTCGTCTTTGTTATAGAACTGTTGCTACCAGCAAATCTTCTTGTTATTTTCAGATGGTTTCGACAAATTAATGACCACTTTCATGTAAAAGGATGTTCTTATGTTCTATATAAACCTCATGGGAAGAATAAAACAGCTGGAGAAACTGGTAGGTATACACATAAAAAAAATCTACCCACCAGTCCATATATGCCTCATGCTTTAACATCCATCTCAAAGATTGAGTGTCTTTATTCAAAGGACAATATGTAAACCCTAAACATAGTCCTGGTGAGGCGCTGTAGGGTAAAGAGCTGGACCGCAAGTTGGTTTGAAATGCAAAGTCAGTGATTCAAACTTGCCAACTGCTCCTTGGAAAACCCCATACTGTGTTGCTATGAGTTGGAACTGACTCGCTGGCACTAAACAACATCACCAAACGTAGTCTTACTTTTATCTCTCTTTATCTAAGAGGTAAATTTATAATCTGTAGGGCACATTCTGGTGTACAGTTTAACAGCTTTACCTCTTCTTATCTTTTCATGTAGAACTTTTAGAACTTTAAGGCTTGTCATTAACAGAACAATAACACTATATTGTTTGGGTTTGTGATGTGTGTGTGTGTAAAAGTTTCAGTAAGCAGTGTGGACTTTACTGAAGGAATGGAAAGATTTTAGACTATTTGCTGTTAGACATGCATGTTGTTGTTGTTAAGTGCTATCGAGTCAGTTCCGACCCATAGTGACCCAGTATATGGTTTCCAAGGTCATGGTTGTGGCTGGCGAGCTTGAAACACCCACGTTGCAGTTCAAACTGACCTTGCAGTCCAGCGCATTAACCCGCAATACCATACCAGGACTCCTAGCCCTGCATAATAACATATAAAAACAGGATAATGGACTGAGAAAATGGCAGAGTTCTGTTATAATCTCAGTTACACAGAGACTAGTGGAGTTGATTATAAGGAGTGTGTTAGTTATGTGCTAATTAAAGCATTTGTATTTTGAAATTTCCAATTTAACACTTATTACAGCAATCTTTTGATTTTGCAGTTCAGAAAACTATTTTACAGAGAGGGGAGTTCTAGTGTGGTGCTGTAGGATAAGTACTGGACCACAGGGTTGGTTTGAAATGCGAGCTTGGCAGTTCAAATCCACCAGCCACTCCTGGGAAACCTTATGTTGTTTTTAAGTGCCATCCAGTTGTTTCTGAATCATAGCAACCCTTGTCTAGGGCTTCCTAGGAGCGGCTGGGGAGATTGAACCACCGACCTTGCAGTTCAGTTGATCTTGTAGTCCAGCGCATTAACCCGCAGGGCCACTCCAGGACTTCTGGAATCCCTGTATAGGGTCTTTATGAGTTGGAACCTACTCAACGCCACCAAACAAATGTATGTTTGCCAAGATTACCGATTGAATACAAACTGGGATATCTTTCTGTTCACCTATTGTTAAGTGCTGTTGAGCTGGTTCCAACCCATAGCGACCCTGTATGGGAATGGCTACTGAGTTTGAACTGCCGACCTTGTGGTTCGCAGTCCAGTGCTGATCCTACAGCACCACACCAGGAGTCCTACTGCTGGCCTATTATGTTGGTTAAAAGTTAGATTAACTTGAAATTTGCATCTTGATTTGTACTAGTTTTGTGACCTTGAACAAGTCACTTAGATCCTCACTTTCTGAGCCCCAGAGTGGACCCCACATTTCCATTTTTGCATTCACTTCATAGGTCTGCTGTGATGATGAAAGGACGTGTGTAATGTGTGTATATGTCTTCATTATCTAGTTCTGCTATAAGAGAATATACCATGAGTGGATAGCTCTAAGAAACAGAAAGTTTCTCCCAGTTTAAGAGGCTGAAAGTACAAATTCAGAGCACCAGCTTTAGAGGAAAGGCTTTTGCTTTCTGTCTTCTGCTTCTAGAAGGTTCTCTCGCAGGGACCCTGGGCTCAGAGAAAGTGCTCTACTCCCAGCTCTTGTTTCTTGATGGTAGTATATCCCTCTGATCTCTGCTGACTTGTTTAAGCTCTAATATGTCAAAAGAAAGTAACTCAAGAAACAGCTGACTCCTACTTTATTAAAAACCACTGCCCGTAATCCTGTCTCATTACTGTCATGTTGATAGGTTCTGTCAAGTTTATTCTGACTCAGAGCTACCCTTTGTTCGACATAATGAAATACTGCCCAGTCATGTACTGGCCTTACAATAATCACCAATTATTTTTTAATATTAACAAGATAACATCTCTCCAGTGAATATATGGTGGTCACGGTTGTATGCCACGGAGTCAGTTCTGACTCATAGTGGCCCCAGATATGGTGTCCGAGGCTACAAATGTTTACAGGAGCAGAAAGCCTCATCTTTCTCCCATGGAGTGGCTGGTAAGTTTGAACTGCTGACTTTGCAGTTAGCAGTCCAAAGCTAACAACTATGCTACTAGGGGTCCTAAATGTATGTACATTGTTTCGTTTTTTTTTTGAAAGAGACATCTTGCTTATTGAAATTAAATGAAAGTATTTGTCAAACAAGATGCTTATCATTTCTATTACTATAGAAATGAATTCAGTATTATTAACTCTTTCTGTGCTTATGGTACTAACGCTAAAATATTTACTTTATACTTTTTTATTGAAAATATACTCAGCAGAACATCAGCACAGATTAAGTAATTTCTACATGTCCACATTCAGCATGACTGTCTTCAAAGTGTGTCACTGTTCTTACTCTCCAGTTCTGATTTGTCCCTGTGGCATTAACATATCATCACTGCTCCTGAGTTTTCCTATTTCATCTTTTGTGTTGCTGTTGTCAGTTTGATCCCATTCTAGATAGTTCTTTAAAGAACACAGTACTTAACGGCAGACACGCTTTAAAGCTAAACTATTATTCAGGGAATCTTTTTGGTTTCAGGTTTAAAGATTGTCTCAGGGCAGGGCAGTAGTTTTGGGAATTCCTCTAGTCTCAGTGGCTCCAGGAAGTCTGGAATCCAAGAGGGCTGAAAATTCTCTTCTGTATTTTATCTCTTTTGGTCACAATTCTTCGGTATAACCTTCGATCAAAATGTTTTAAGGGTAATTTCACTCAATGTAAGTTATTTTTTGGACATATATTTTAACATTTCTATGTCTCATTTATTTCACTGATTTTATACAGTAGTAAAGCCTAGCTTTTAATCGGAGGTTAAGTGTGTCAGGCACTATGCTGACTTCCCTGTTTGAATTCTATAGCAGCCCTACAAGAAATGCATTTTCCCCACCTTATTGATACGGAAACTGAGACGTGGAGAAGGTAAATAAATTAAGCAGATTACACCACTAGCAAGTAGAGGATACAGCTGTCAGACTCAAGTCTGTCTGATTTCAAAACTGAAATGGAAAACATTAGCTATTCTTCCTTTTCTAGTGGTAGTTTCTTTCAATAGTCTAGTGTATTCTACATATATATTTTTTATAGCTTCCATGCATCATGTTTAACCAAAAAGCATATAGCAACAAGAACAATTTCTAAACATTTTTACTGCAAAATCCTGTCTCTTAGCATAAATGTTGCTTTTTATTTTTTTAAGTGTCTGGTAGGATCATCGTTTTTGGCAGCCACTCTAATCAAGACAGCATCTTAGGGATATATGACTGTAGCCAAAAAAATCAAGAAGTTCAAGAAAAAGGTATAACAAGTTCTTTCTTTGCAGCCTCTTTTCCGTCTCTAGTGATTTTCACAGTCATTCTTCAATTATTGAAAAGTATCATAATAATTATATTCATAAAGAACATTAGAAAATACATACCAGTAACATTTTGTATTCTGAGTTGAATGTGGAAAAGTTCACTGAAAGTAAGTAAATGGGTCAGGCTGCCCTAGTGAATAGTCGTGTGAGCAAGTCTCATTGTTGAACTCGTGCAGGTGACACCAACCTTTGGATATCAAGTCTTGATACCAAGGCCAACCCATGTGATTAGTGTTGTTGTTGTTAAGTGCCATCAAGTCAGTTCTGACTCAAAGCGTCCCTGTATGGGGTTTCTGAAGAACCAGTTGGTGGGTTTGAACCACTGAACTTAAATTTAGAAGTCTTGTGCTTATCCGACAGTACCACACCAGAACTGTATAATTATTAGGTGCTATCCAGTCAGTTCCAACTCATACCAACCCTGTGCACAACACAACAAAACACTTCTAGTATTGTGCCATCCTCACAGTTGTTAACACTTGAGTCCACTGCTGCTGACACTATGCTGTTTCATCTCGTTGGGATCTGCCTCTTTTTTGCTGATCCTCTACCAAGCATCATGTCCTTTTTATTGTGAATTGAGTAATAGTTTACATGGGACAACATCAGCTTTACACTTATCCTATCATATTTCGTTTCATTGCCATGATTACAGTCCCCTCCATGCATCATCAATTTATTCCCTCTGTTGTTTTTTCTAAATTTTTTTGAATGTACACCAAAACACTCAGGAATATACAGTCATTCAAACACCCGGAGGGCATACCCTGCAAGCCTGCCCCCCGGCTGCCAGCACACAGCCCCTCTCTAGAGTCCCCAGCCACTCCATCTTTCCTTGTCATCTCTGCCTCCATCTCTGGCATTGCTGCTTCTCTGAATAGGGTCCCGCGCTCTGCTCTCGCTTTTCTCCCTTGATGGTCCGAGGCTCCTCCACTCCTGGACTGCAAGATCAACCACTCCCTTCTTTTTGCTACATAACTTTTACAGTTGCAACAATCACAATCGGTCACTTCCACCTTCTTTTGATGCTTTCTGAATCATAAATCAATATTTTGCCCATAGAATGCTTCAGCATTGCAACTCAAGACATGAAGTTTTTTCTTTATTTCTTTCAGCTTGTGTAATGCTGAACGTGTTCTTCCCTTTTGTTTTTTTAACTCCTGATCTTTGCACATTTCATTATAATACTTAGCTATTTTCTTGAGCTGTCCTTTGAACTTTTCTGTATAGCTCTTTTACTTCATCATTTTTTCCATTTGCGTTAGCATTTCTATGCTGGAGAGCAAATTTGACAGTTTTTTCTGATATTCATTTTGGTCTTTTCTTTCTTTCATGTCTTTACTGACCTTTTGTTTTCTTCCTGTATTTTAATCTTGATGTCATCCCTCAGTAATTCTGGTCTTTGTTTATTAGTGTCTAATGCATCAAATCTGTTCTTGAGATGG